CAGACAAATAAATATTTGAATGCAGTGAAATGTAAAGGCCGTTTTCACTAACGAACAGGTTTATGTCTGTTGTTGACTATATATCTGAAAGGATGACTATGTACCTAAGGTTAACACCTTTCTGTGAGTTGCTTTAAAAATGGGTAAACTATGAAACGTCCTACAAAATGTTCAGATTTCACAATACCATTCTCTCATACGAGTTCAGTAATGATACCAGAGGAAGAGTGAGAGAGAAGAGAGAAGTGGGGAGGGAAAGAGAGAAGTGAAAGGATATGGGAAAGCAAAACATCCAAAAGGGAAAGCTCCTAAATGGAAAACGCAACGTGAAGAGCAAACTGCTTAGGCTGTTTCAAGAGGAGAGTTCAAAAGTGCTTTTGTAAGTTTGAGATTTCTTGTTTATCCTGTTGCCATATCGTGATTTATAAGAAAGATTTCTTTGGTCTTCGTCCATAGTTCCAGGCTCACAGAAACCCTTGGAATTTCCTAAGTGTTGGGAGTGACAATGATGTCCTCAGTTATGTTAATAAAGTGACTTTTGGACTCCGCCTAAGGATGGGGGCTGCTTACCAGGAGAATCAAGAGAACGTGCCATGTGATTTGGAGGGTTGGAACTTTCAATCCTACCGCCCAACCTCTGGGGAGGGGAGGCGGCTGGAGGCTGAATCATTCACCAATTGCCAATGATTTAATAATCAATTGTGCCTGTGTGATGATGCCTCCAAAAAACCCCACAAGGACTGAGCTGGAGAATGCATGAGATTTGGGGAGAGTGGTGTGGTCTGGGAGAGAACACAGAACTCCCAGATCCTTTGTCATATCTTGCTCTATGCATCTCTTCCATCTGGCTGTTCTTGACTTAGATCCTTTCATAATTAAATGGTAATCTAGTAAGTATCATATTTCTTTGAGTTCTGTGAGCTGCTCTAGCAAATTAATGAACCTGAGGAAGAGGTCATGGGAACTCTGATTCATAGCTAGTGGGTCAGAAATATAGGTAACAACCTAAATTTGTGATCAGTGTCTGAAGCCAAAATGGGGGTCACTGGAACCTCTAATCTATAGCCAGTTACTTAGAAGCACAAGTAATAATCTGGTCTTTCTTCTGCTGTCGGGAAGCAGGGAGGGGCAGTCTTGTGGGACTGTGGAATCCAGTGTTATTTCTGGATACACACTGTCAGAATTCAGCTGAATTGTAGCACACCCTGATGGTGACTGAGAATTCCTTGTTGGGGTGGGGAAGCCTCCACACACACACAGATACACACACTGCAGCTGGGTTCAGGAACCTAATTTATCTGCCCAAATCATAGCAGTCAAGTCAAGAAATAACAACTCTTACCTATACATTACATGGATTTCTTTCACATATTCTGGTAGACTGATTTCATTTATTGATGAAATAGTAACATTTTATTATTATTATATAAATAATATACAACAACCATTTATATTATAAATAATATAAAACAACTAGTGATTTTATAAAGACGTACTACCCGCTGCCTGATTGTAAACTCACTGATGACAACAGAGTCCCTCTGGATTCAAATTCATCAAGGTTGGTAGCCATATGTGTGAGGACACTAGAGTCTGTTTACCATGATAAGGACAGAGTCAGCAAAAAGAACAAGCAAAGGACAGAAACTCTGGGATTTTAGGGGATGAGGCAGCAGAAAAAGCCAGTCAGAGGCATAGGGCAGAATTATCCTCCAAAAGGTTATATTAATGTTGGAAATGAATTAGTACAAAACAATCTATTCATTTTGGAAATCAATGGCCCGTCCTAGAGTTGATTCTCCAGAAACTGAGAAATTGTGGCTTGAAGAAGATGGCTTTCTGCTGACCATCTCAAAGAAGTAAAATCTATTTGAAAATATATCTTATATATGGTAAATAATATTTTATGTTTTGCATTTTAAATTTTTAAATGAGATTCATATCTGTCATAATTCCTCAACAGAAGGACCCAAAGCAACTTACACTCTTTGTATTTCTACTGAAATGATTTAATTAATTTAATTACTTCAATGGTCCTCAATAGAAAACCCACTTATTAAAATAATAATCATCATCTACAAGCACCTATTAAAAACATATTTCAGAAAACTTATCAAAAAACATTCTAATAAATTAACAGGGGATTATCCTTTTAAAATGATAAATATATATTGTTATTACCTAGTGAATTTTATAATTATCAGCAACTTATATTAAACTCATAAATAAAAAAGACTAATAATATCTATTTTTTCTCATGGATTGAAAATATTTCTTACAGAGAACATAGAACTGGATATAGATGGCATATTTTTCCTTTCTCAGCTTATTGAACATATTTTACATAGTAAAAGCATCATAAATAATATTTAATATGTCTTACCCAAAGCAGTTCAGCCTAGGAAAAATACATATATAGTGCCAATAACCCTAATATGTTTTTTGAAGCTATAATTTGGTGTAGGTAATTAGTCACTTTTTATAGTAATTGATTTGTCCAAAACTTTTTAGAAAATTTTGCTGGGTTGATCTAAAAATTGATTAAGAACTAATCTGGTTGGGCCCATGGTATATAACTGAAAATTTCTTAGGCTATAATAACAGCTTTATTTGTTCCCTTCTTCCATTATTTTAACTTCAAATAAATGGTTAAAAATGTAAGGTTTATCAATATATACTAAGTTGTCATTAAAATAATTTTTTGGCCAAGTGATGATTCTGAATGCAACATTATTTATATTCTAATCTTGTATAGAATAATTTCTAAGGCCAATGGCATTTTCTGCTTATTTGAAACTAAACCATTTAAGAAAACATACTGGTATGCTCATTCATGTATGCTCACTAGTCTTAGAGGTGCAAGATGGGTACAGTGTGCAAAAAGTACTAGAAAGATTCAGAATGTGTGAAAATGGGGAAAATGTTTTGCGAGACTCTTAGTAGACTGATCCACTCTCTTTCAGAGCAACATCAAAACGGAGCAAAAAACAGAAAGATGTTCATCACTGTAACCCAGTGATCTCACTTGAGAAAAAACTGAACTGATGAGAAGTTGAATGCATGAGGGTATTTCTAGCAGCACTGCAGAAACTAACAAAGAATGAAAAACCACCCCAGCATTTAACAGGAGAAGTAGAGATTAAAGGAATAAAATTTGAAATAAAATGTATGATACAACAACCTTTAAAAATAAAAAGAGACTAGGTAGTAGCATAGAAAAGTTTACAATATAATGTTAATGGTTTCGACAATGTAATGACAATGATGTAAATACACATTAATGTAAATAAGGATCAAATGATCATATACAAAATGAAAACAGTTATTGCTAATATTTATTAATTTTTAATCTTACTCAGAGGTCACTTTTTAATTCAAATACAATAGGGTGCCTAATTAATCATAGATAGGATTTCTTTTCTACGCTCTAGTAGATGGTGCTACTACTAAATCCAGTTGGAACACTAAAACAACTTGAAGTGTTTTTTTCAAGTCAGGTGTCCTGATGAATCATAACCATTTTGGTGATTTACAGATACTTCAAGGTACCTTCCAATGGGGTCTGAAACAATAGGAAATGAGCTATGAAAGTAAGAACGCCCAACAGAGTTATAGGTTTTGGGTTGTTGTTTCTGGGTTTTTTGTTTGTTTGTTTGTTTTGTTTTGTTTTTGCGTACATTTGGCTATTATGCTCTTCCAACTCGTTATCACCACCTATTTGCTCAAACATTCTTAGAATGTTGGTTGCGTGGTATAAATTTCCATAGCACACCATTTCATTCCAATCAGTAAGCTGACTCATGAATCAGATGAGGATAATATAAGAGACCCAAAGGCTGAGGTTTCCACAAAGGAATTAAGGTAAACAATGGAGTAAATGAGGTAGGAGAGAAAATCAAAGTGAATTAAAAAAAAAAATTCTGTGGCAAACTCAAAGGCTATATAGTAGGGTCCAGAAGATAACAAAAATAGGTGCAGCAGGTTGGGTACTAGTACTCGGGAGTGAGGGGGCTGCGGAAAACTGCAAAGCTTGCCCTGTTTAAAAGCCACCAGCCAGGCTTCGACAGGTTACTGACCAGCACGATTGCCGACCTCACGCTGTCAGATATTCAGACTCTTTCAAGGGAGACCAGAAACAGAGGCCCTCCTGTGAAATCCGAGTTTCTAACTGCTGACAACTAACTTGAATTAGTTTTAATTTTTCAGTCTTCTGTGACAACCAGCTATTATGCTGCCTTCAGGCTTATTTTGTTTCATGGACTTCCCGTGTGCCTCCTCTGACCTATAGTTAGCAGGCAGAGATTTCTTAGAGGGCTGAAGTTACATTTTCACTGGAAGCTCTTCATAGGAAAATTTTTTTTTATAAAGAAAAAGAAAAATGCAAAATAGTGAAGCTAAAAATAAACTGTGAGCATATTGGTAAGCATAAATCAATAAGGGCTTGCAAACTATAAGAATATTACATTAAGATGTAAATGTTCCAAAGAAGCACAATCTTAGCAGATTTTACTTCTATTTTCTCTATAATGATTGAGGAGACATTCTGAGTCACTACAAAAGGAGATTAGCCCCAAAGGCTTTTTATAAAGATAGCTCCCTTTGCTGAAACTACCTTAAAAATAATCAGAACAAAATGACAAAATCTGATCAAGATAGAATCACTAGGAGCTACCACATTGCAGATAGGACTTGGGGGGGAGGGTGCCCTGCGTGATGCCTGTTGCTAGGTTCCCTTGACATATCCCATTCCTTCCAACTCTCATTTTCCATCACTGGCTGTAAAAAGGAAGTCCCTGGAGACTCCTAAGGAATGCTCCTCTGGCTGAGTCAAGGAGGAAACAGGACACTAGGCTTAAAGGCACTTTCACATTAGCTGTAGGCATTTACCCGTGTCCAAGGTGGACTCTGTGGATGGGTGGATGTGAGTGGTTGGGAGGAAGGGGGAGTGGTCTACTCAGCTAATCATCTGCATCACATGCACCCAAGGAAAAAATGTTTACCTGGTGGAGCCACGGTTAACCTTTTTTCCTTGCTGAGCCGGTGCCCTTGGATGAATTCATTCATGGAAGGGGGGCCCTTCAGAAGAAATGATTCTGTGGAGGTGGGATCAGGGGGAACTCTTAATAAATTCTGTAGGTAGGTAGCCCCTGAAGTCCTGGGACGGCTCTGATCACAAAGGGAAGGTGAAAATTGTCTTGCAGGAGATCCAAGAAAATACATATAGGAAACAAAAAAGTTTTACTTTAATTACCTTTCAAAGCCTCACCAGTGACAACATTATTTATATTGGCATTTAATTTTTTTTTAACACGTAAGTCAAGATTTTTACTAATTGCTTAGTTTCCATACCAGGATACAACCCTATTTGGAAACTGTATTGGATACTGGAAAAGAAATTTATTATAGTTAGTCAGTTTGAACCGCAATTAGAAAATATTTATATTATTTGATTCTTTACTGAAAATTCCTAAAATAAAAATTTTACCATTAACTGAAAATACAAGGTAAGTAATTCAATATCCAGGAGTCTGTAAAAAGGTCATAAAATCAAGCCACTAAAAACCTTGCAAATGATTTCTCTGAGCAACATTCACATACCAAATGAAAAGGCAAAAAACCTGCTTTTAAGAAAAAGACTACACACATTCCATTCCATTTTACCTAAATATAGACATCTCCTTTTGGTCAGTTGTCAGATTTGGGAATATGGACAAAAGTTTCCCTAAAAGAACATATTCATATCCTTGCCCCATTAAAGAGAAGCTGGTAAATAGCACCATTACCAGAGGCACAACGACTTTTAAGTGTCATGTAAAACATAGCTTCATTCTTAATATCCACCTTTTATCTATCAATTTTTAGGCTGGAGGTAAGGGAGAGGCATATTTGTGCATACAAACAACAGCAAAAATGTTGACAGATACTCAAAAATTATTATTACGGTTAATCAAGACGTGGGATATGGGGGACAGAAAGGAATAAATAAACACAATGATCAAAGGTTTTGCTTTGGCAAAGCCAACATCAGCAAGGCCCATTTGTACACCCACTCCCAGTTTTTCTCTTCCTTCCCTTCCTCCATCCTCCATAATAAGACCACATTAACGTTGCAGTTAACTAAAAATCTGGCCTGTGCACCATACTATGAAGATCGCTGCATGCATACCTTTTCCTCTGAGTGCCACTGCTGACCCGAATGTTGGGTGTCTGTGGGCCCTGACTATGCAGGAGGTAAGTGTCTATGGTGGGCACGGTGACTGATGCCTCCCCACTTACTTTAGGGCTGCCGATCTTGCTCTTCCCAAGTTTGCCTTTGCTGCGTCGGGACTGCTCATGGTCAAACTCTAAGTCCTCCAGCCGCTGGGTCAGGGCGAGTTTTTGCTGGATAGCCATTCGTAACAAAGTGTTTAGAGTCTTCTTCTCATCCTCTGCGGCTGCTAACTGTCTCTGCATCTCATCCAACTGGGTGACATACTCATCACATCTAGAACCCAAACAAAAAAGTGGTCAGGAGAAAATTTTGGTGAAATGAAATGTGGAATTTAAGTTGAAAAGTAATGAATTTTACTGGAATTTAGATTTGGAACACTGGTCTTCCCTGAGCAGAATGGAGGTAACCGATTACGGTGGAAAACTGGAAACAGGAGAGAAGGTTCAAGAACTAATGGTTCATTTATACCATGGAATGCATATGGGGACGCTCTTAATGGATGACATCTTAAACCCCAGTGACAGAGTTATTATGGAGGCTGCCTATAATGGAGGAAGAAGAGTGAACTATAACATCTCCGGTAATGTTCACAGCATCTTAGATGTGTTATAATAGCTCCTACTGTGTAACATGATCTTCTTTGGAGGAATGTGACAGGTTTATCATAGACTAGGCTTGTAGTAGGCAAAGGAATAATAATGTTTATAAAGAAAACATTTCCTTTTTTATTTATAGGTTTTACTTTTGCAGCCACACTGTTTTCAATACGGCAGATTTGCTTGAATTAGAAACCTGAATATTTTCAAAGATTTCTCAACCAGAAGATAAAGCAATAAATGTCAAAGAAAACGAAGGTTTGCTATACAGATATAGCAGGCTGTCAGGAACATCTTTATTTGGTTTTGATACCTGTGCTGCAGCTGGAAGATAAGCTCAGTGATCTTTTTTCTCCGCCAAAAGTAAAATCTAAGCACACAAACATTTGGAAGGGAGGATTAATCACACAATTTTCAGAGTTTTTTTTTTTCTGAGTTTACTTACCCGCGAACTTAATAACAAATATTCTTCATGCACCAGCTGAGAGTTAGTGACTTGATGGAGCTATCCGAAATGTGCTGTGCAAACTTTGAAATTAACATAAGCCTTGCAGCTTTTTAAAGAAAAAACAGACTCTAGGTGAAAGAACTTGAGATCCAGGTGGATCCTGTTTTTGTTAACCTTAAATGTCAAGAAGCATAGTAGGGATACTATATACTTACTTATATACATAGTAAGTACATATATACATATATACTTTCTTACTGCACATAGTAAGAAAGATCACATCTTAATAAAATACAAAGTGGGTTTTAGCACCCTGGATTTATTTTAATTGGTTAGATAATATTTTTTAAAAATACTACGGAGTAAGGCAGTTATTACACCTTAAAAAATGTTCTGTGAAAATGCACTGCTTGGGAATAGTAATTCTTATTTAAATCAGATTACGATTATAAAATATAAAAAATATTTTGATTTCTTTTTAAAAGAGGATATATATATATATATAAAATTAAAAAAATTTTTTTTAATGTTTTATTTATTTCTAGGAGAGAGAGAGACAGTGTGAGCAGGGGAGGGTCAGAGAGAGAGGGAGTCACAGACTGAAACAGGCTCCAGGCTCTGAGCTGGCAGTCAGCACAGAGCCCGACGCGGGGCCCGAACCCACGAACCGCGAGATCATGACCTAAGCGAAAGTCGGACGCTTAACCGACTAAGCCACCCAGGCGCCCCTAAAATTTAATTCTACATGTAATGTGGACTGATTTCTTTCATCAAAGGGGGCAGCAGCATTCTCTATCCTGCCCCCCATGGTGGCCAGAGGTGTCAATATACTCTATTCCTCAAACTCTCCCGGGCTCAGACCCAGAAGTCAGTTCTTCAGGTCTGCATGGCTGTGGCCCACCAGGCACTCAGCCTCCTCACAACCATCACCAAGAGAGTCAATCACAAAGTATGAGCTTGAAACTTTCCTCTCCTCATATGCAGGGAAGATGGACAGATTCCAGGCCTCCTATAAAACCCAGGATTTTGTTTACACTTGTATCAGCTACATATAAATTATTTACTAATTCTACAAATAATGCTTTATGAATTTTGCACCACATGTGTAATATATAAGATGCATGACTGCTTTTGTTTTGGTACTGAATTGTGACAGTAAAAAGGGGATGGTGACGCTATTGAAAATCTCAGGATTTTGAAACCTTTCAATCAATATATGCTCGATCACTTCAAGTCAGAAACAAAGCACTTCATAATGAAACTGGTTGTGAGAGGTAGTCACTAATATTTGTCTAATTAATTAGCATGGCAATGTGAAAAACTTGATGATAGATACAATTACATTTTACAAATTATAATTTAGGGGCACCTGGGTGGCTCAGCTGGTTGAATGTCCGACTCTTGATTTCAGCTCAGGTCATGATCTCACAGTTCATGAGACTGAGACCCACATTGAGCTCTGTGCTGACAGTGTGGAGACTGCTTAAGATCCTCTCATTCTCTCTGTCTCTCTCTGTCTCTCCCCTTGCCCCAGTTCCCTGCTCATGCTCTCTCTCTCTCTCTCTCTCTCTCAAAAAAAAAAAAAAAGGAAAGAAAGAAATTATAATTGTATTCACAGTATATTAAAGTCCAAATAATTAGCTGATATAATGAGCACTTATATTCATCATGAACATGTCTTTCTCATGCAATACTTACTAATGATAAGGACTTTTATGTCACAGAAATAAATTTCAGTGGTGATAATATAATATTTAGCTATTTTAAGAAATACATTTTCCCCCATTATCAGAGGCTTTTAGGGGGGTGGGGGGCGGCTCTAATTCTTTTGGTTACATAAGCTCTAGGAAACATATCAATTACATTAATTTAAAAATACTTTTATGTAAAAGAATTGCTTGATCCAGTGTGTCCAGTAGAGGGCTCTGGAAAACAGCACAAAACATTTTGCCTTAGACTTGTCAGAATTGCATCTCAGGTATTCTCTTCACAGCTCACTGTCTTGGACTGCGCACAAGAGGTGTGCATGTGACTGTGAATTATAAAGTCTTTCTCCCATGTGCCCCACCTCATCTTGGAAGAAAAAACTGTTACCTTGTTGCAAACATTGCTCTCAGGGATGAGAAAGTTGCTGCATCTTCTTTCAAAGCCTTCAGTTCATTCCTAAGCTTCGTCATAGTTTCAGTCACCATTGCTTTCTCGTTTTCGTATTTGTTCTTGAGATTAGCTAGAGCCACCTCAGCCGTCTGAAGCAGAAAAACCACAATGCTTAGGATTTTCATATCAGGAAAACCTATCATACAGATTTTTCCATGCTGGGTGGTCTAGGACTTTCTTTCATAAATAGAAAGTGAAATTGATTTGGTTAAATTTTATATAAACATATATATGTACTCAGACATAAGGCAGTTTTTTTTTTAAATCCATAACATGGTTAAATTCCCCTGGAAGCCAGCTATGAACCAGAGTTAGTATCAGAAACTAAGGAAATGATCCTAGTTCAGTAAATATTGTAATGTAGACTCTTGAGAGTCTGTAACATTTCAAATAGAAAGGGAGCTAAAATTAAACTTTATACAAGAAGGATTTTATCAAGGAGAAGGTAGTAAAGAAGCTCAGCTTCCAACAAATTCAATAGAATGTGGGGTGTCTGGATGGCTTAATCAGTTGAGCATCCGACTTCAGTTCAGGTCAGGATCTCATGGTTCATGAGTTCAAGCCCCATGTCAGGCTCTGTACTGACAGCTCAGAGCCTGGAGCCTGTTTCAGATTCTGTGTCTCCCTCTCTCTGTGTTCCTCCTCGACTTGTGCTCTGTCTCTCAAAAATAAATAAATGTTAAAAAAAAAAAAAAAGAAACACAACAGAATGCAAATATTCTTGTGTCGCCTCTGCTCGGGGAGCCTGAAACATACAATAAAAGACAAAGGCCACTCCAATTTATAGCACGAGTACACAATAAACTATAAATCCATATTACATGTTTAAGGAAAAGAATTCACAAAGAACCAATTACTTCCTGCCTTTGCACAGAACTTCAAAACAATAAATTATAGTCTAATTTAATTCTTCACAATCTCCATAAAAGCAGAAATTCCAAAATGTTGAATGAATTAAAATCTCTGTTTGAACTGAGAATTTGGGCATTTCTGAATCTTTTGAATTTAAAAGCGTTTCAAATTGAAAACTAGTTTGACACACAGTAGGAAGAAAAAAATGTTAATTGAATCAATGCATGAAATCAATGTGTATTTAGGGACTGCCTGTTTGATGCATAGCACATGGTGTACATATACTGAAGCCAAAATGAAAACATATCATTTTAACAAACTGTTAACCACAGCTTTTCAGAGAGTGTAAAAATACTCAATACTAATGAAAACATCCATTACTAATGAAAAAAAATCCATTGCTAAGGGGATGTTCCAGGAAGACTACCCTGGTTTTTAACATTTCCTTTTGCGCTTAAAATGGACAGCTTCAACTTTCTTATGCAAAGTGCCAACTTCTATAGAGATATTGGGATTCTTTTTAAAGTTAAAACAATATTGGGAAAGGGTAGCTTGTTAATGTTTTGACTCCAGAGTAGTTTCCTATAGGTTTTAATTGAATTTAAATTCTGATTAAAATGAGAATTTACTGACAAAATATTGTAGTATATTCTGTAGCTGTAACTCAATGGAATCTTCAGAAATACTATTGATTCAGAAAATTATCCAGAATACAGAAATTGATCTGGGGAGAGAAATGGCGGTTTCCCCATTTAAAAAAAAACTTATACACATATTCATATAGGACTGTTAAATTTAAGTTGTGAAAATCCAGACGTAACAAAGTTGTAAGCATTTGGAGCCAAAAGGTCAGTTATCCAAGGGGAGGAAAGAATAGAATGACAGAAGAGCAAGACCTGAAATAGAAGTACAAACTCACTTATTATTTGTGAGAAATGTCCCCAAAGACTGTTTTGTTTGTAGGCTTATTGGTCCAGACTGTACAAAGCTTTTCCAGAAGTAAGAAATTCTAAGTATCGGGTCGCCTGGGTGGCTCAGTCGGTTAAGCGTCCGACTTCGGCTCAGGTCATGATCTTGCGGTTCGTGGGTTCGAGCCCTGCGTCGGGCTCTGTGCTGACTGCCAGCTCAGAGCCTGGAGCCTGTTTCAGTCTGTGACTCCCTCTCTCTCTGACCCTCCCCTGCTCACACTGTCTCTCTCTCTCTCTTAAAAACAAATAAAAAACATTAGAAAAAAAAAGAAATTCTAAGTATCTACAGCCCACGAGTAGATTTGCTGATGTTTACATTTGCTACGCTCCCCATGCCCCTTGTTTCCAGCCACAGAGATCTTCACAACCATTCCCTGAATATATCATTCTATTCCCTGGCTCTACCTGCTATTCTTTCAGTCTGGAAAGGTGTCTTCCTCTTCTGGAAAATAACTCCTGATCTTTTAAGAACAAATTCAAGTAAAACTACTTCCATGAAGTGTTTTTTTTTCCTAACTCGTTTAGGAAACATTAATTGCTTCCTCGGCAACATTTCTATAATTTATATTCTAGCATGTATAACATCAAACTGCAATTATCTCTTTCTTTCCCAATGCTCTCACCAGTTTGGGAGTCCTATTCTGAAGGGCAGGGATGCTGTATTAGTCTTCTTTGAATGTTTAGCATCTAGCCAGTTCACTACACAGATGCTATTTCATAAACATTTGCATATTTCAGCAGAAGACACTGTGCATACAGAAAAACCTGAAGTATATTAAAAGATTCATAGAGAAAGCAGAATGACTATTTTTTAAACAAGAAGATTCCCCCACTTCTCTTTATGACAGAATTCTTACTTTAGTCTTAATAGCGAACATTCCACAATGTCTAAATATAATGGATGTCATCTGCAGACATCTGAAGTTATTTAGGGCACATAAGCATCATAGCAATAGGCCCAACATCATTAAAATGTAAACTAAATGCATGGCTAGAAATGTGTTTTCATTTTATTTACTGAGACCATAAGGGTTGGGATGCTAATGTAATGCAAATGGTACCACAAACCACTGAGAAAATAAAAATTCAGCCAGGAATCCTTTGTCTTCCTGAATTGTACTGAATTCCTTTGATACTGTTTCTACCTCTCAGTGACATGTCCTGCTCTGTAAATAGTTAACAGGCATGTGTTGAACTCCTACTAGATTACCTGGTCACTTAATTTGCATCCTTACTTACTACCTGCCTTGAACTATGTAATTAAAGAATGCTCTCTCGTGGCTTATCAACCATGCTTATCTGTATTTCTGCATCATTTAAGCTTCTTATCACTTATAGATCTAGATTTCTAGGTTGTTAATATTCACAGGAAGAAGTCAGAGATGCTATTTGAATGGCTTGACCAAGAATGCCCAGGATATTAGCTCCTTGATAAAGGTTGTCTAAGTCTTATCTAACATGGTTTTAGTCATATGGTATTGGCTATTTATGAATACTCTAAATACCTGAGTCTTTGGACTGTAGTAGTTTATGGTAGTGAATTCTTTATTTTTTTAAGTTTTTACTTACTTATTTTTGAGAGACAGAGAGATAGAAAGAGCAGGGGAGGGGCAGAGAGAAAGGGACAGGGAGAATCCCAAGCAGGCTCTGTACTGATGGGCTCAAACTCAGAAACCATGAGATCGTGACCTGAGCCAAAACCATGAGTCAGACACTTAACCAACTGAGCCACCCAGGCGCCCTGCAAATTCTCTCATTCTGACCTCAAATTGGAGTCAGATCTCTCACAATTCCTTATTCATCTTAATCTCTTCTATTTCCCTGAAGTGATGACACGAAAGAAGGTCCTAATTTGTCCTTAGATTTATATAAAACATGTTTACAGTGCAAACAATATTACTGCTTGTGGGATAGACCTCCCAATTATATCAGTGGATTATGGGAACTAAAGACCAAGATACTAGAAAACTGTACTGTGGATGACACAATGTTGGCATGGCTTCCCTCATACAAGGGTAAAAGGAGAAGCATTGCAGCTCAAATTAACCACTCCACAACATCAGCACCGCTTACAACATTTCCAAGAAGGTTTTTGATGCTTTGTTTCTCTTTATCCACACCCTTTATCAGCACTCTTCTCAAATGTATCTTTCAAGATTTATGTTCCAGAGAAGCTAAACAGAGGTTAAAGATGTTTTCCCATCTATATTTCACAGCATTCCCACTCAGGTAAAGCTCAAGGGTGGAAAACAAATTCAGTCATGAAGGAGATCTAGGAATTAGTCAGGTGGGGTCATGTTGTAGCATTCTTGCTTATTCCAGAAGGACAAGATCTATGCTTAGGAAAAACTTTCTACTGCTTAAGCGAGGTGATGAATTAACATTGCAACTAAGCCTAAATTTCAGGTATGTGGTCACTGGCAGAGCTAGTAGACATTTTCTCTCTCTCTCTCTCTCTCTCTCTTTCTCTCTCTCGCTCGCTCCCCTGTTTGCTCTGGTGTTTGCCAGGTGTCTCCCTGGTGTAGGCTTCCATGCCAGCCCATTCAACCACCCCTCCATCTCCTGTTTCCACACTCAGTGACTGCTGGACTCCAGCTAAGTACTGCCAGAATTGCCTTTCTACAACTGCAACTAAATCTTCTCCTTGGATCCTGCTTTAACTTCCTCACCTCTACCTCCCCTAGAGGGGCATAGCTACTCTCCTATATCATCTACTCACTCACTGAAAAATAATTATTACATTCTGATCTGGTGCTGAGACATAGTTTGATTCATTTACTCTGCTGACCAAGAATCTGAACTCTCACCCTGATGATAACGGACACTCAAAAACATTAAAGAATTAACTAGTTAAGAAAGCGTTGGCTAAGCATGTGTCGTGAGTAGAATGAGGTCACCTGTTTGTTGGCTTTCAGCACTGCCCTCAGTGTGGCGATCTGCTCCCGTTTGGTGCTCAGCAGGGACTTGAGCTTGAGGATCTCTTCCATTAAGGCTTCCTTGTCTTTATCAATCATGGGGGCCAGCTCCCGTGCTGCTGCTCTTTGACGAGACAGTTGCAAGGACCGGTCCACAGCTTTCTGCAGATGTTTGATTTGGTCCCGGATTATGGCATTAAGGTTATAGATATTCATTGGCTCTTTGCGGATGTCACTTGTATCCAATACTGGAGATGATGGTGGGGCAGTAATAACAGGAGAGATTGTGGGGGTCTTGGTTGGACTTGGTTCTTTGCTGGCCTCTGTGTTTTCTTTTGAAACTGGTTCAGATGAGGTCCTTGTTTCTACTGGGGATGACACACCCCGCCTGGCTAATCGTGGAGACAAAAGTCCCCTGGGATCATCAGGCCCCTTCAGGCTGCCACTACGAGTGACTCTGCTTTGCCTATAGTAGTCCAGCATGACCCTGTTGGGGGTTTCATTATTACACAGACATACATGGTGGTAAAGCTGAGCTAGCTCCTCACTAAATGTCACCAACTCATCCTGGGCTGTATTAAGGGTATTGTGATTTTCATTGGCTATGCTGGTCATCTTTTGCAACTCCTTCTCCATGTGGGCCATCTTCTCTCCACTCTCCTTGGTGGTCTTTTCAAGGCTTGTAACCTGCTCATCATACATTTGGATCTTACTCTCATACTTGGCTTTCTCTTCAGTATAGTTTTCTACAGATTTATTATATTTCTCCTTTAAGGCCTTAATTTCAGCTTTCAAATCAATCACCTCAGTTACTGCCACTCTATACTTGCATTCAAGGATCTCTAAGCCATTGATGTCCACCTCATAGTCATGGGCCTCCTCCCCTGAGTCCCGGCCCTTCTCCCCATCCAGCTCAGCCTTGAGCTCTTTGCTGCTCTGTAGGCCTCTCATGGCATTAACGTGTTCTGTGAGCCGGTGAACCCGTTCATGCTGCTCTGTCAGCGCCCCCTTGGTGTGTTCCAGCTGCGTCTGTGACTCCTGGAGATTGGCCAGAAGAATGGCCTTTTCCCGCTCTACCTGTGATGGCAAAAAAAAAAAAAAAAGGTCTCTGAATGATTTCAAGGCAATGCCAATGATGCACTTGATCCATTCACAATCAGGCATGTATACATTTAAAATACCTGCAGCAGAGCCAATGTCCCCATTATTGCAAATTAAATTGGAGTGTGTTTTCTTTTTTCAGCAGTTCTGGTAGGTCAATCAGTCTAAAAGTACATCATTTTAAAAGAATTATGCTATGCATATTTACTCATCTGAATTCTCATGTATTACACATGTACACTCATGAAACCTGAATGTTATTCAAACAATCTTATATTTATCTTAACATCTTGCAGAAAACATAACATGACTTCAAGAGACAGTACTTGGCACTGTTTTTGGAGAGCCTTGCAGTGTATCTGCTCCTTAGCTCATCTGGGATAAGTGACTGTCTCAAGGTGCCTATGAATCATTCTTTCCTTCTGAGAGCTCAACCCAAAATCAGATTTAACACCTAAGGCTTTAACTTACTAAATAATGCTGGGAACACTAACCATCTCCTTAAAATAAAAAATAAGCCTTTAATCCCCAAAATAGACATATGCACAAAATTTGATAGCTTTTAATATAAAAGTCAGAGAACACAGAGTTTTAGGCCTAAAGGAACAATTTACAAATCATTTCAATTCTTTCAGTCCAAATAGGAATTTTAAAAATCAGTAATATATTTTATTAAAATGACAGCTTTATTATTATATAGGTAGTATTATTCTGATCGCAATATAAAAATATTCTGACCTCAATATAAAATACTGTCTCATTAAATATAAGTTATAAAAGGGGGCCTAAGAGGCTCAATCGGTTAAGCATCTGAGTTGTGCTCAGGTGATGATCTTGCAGTTCAGGAGTTTGAGTACCACATTGGGTGCTGTGCTGACAGCTCAAGGCCTGGAGCTTGCTTTGGAGTCCGTGTCTCCCTCTCTCTCTCTGCCCCTCCCCCACTGGTGCTCTGTCTCTCTCTCTCTCTGTCTCAAAAATAAATAAACATTAAAAAAATTTAAAACATAAGTTTATAGGAAATTATAATAGGAGAATTTTTTAAGTTTATTTATTTTGAGAGGGGAGGAGGGGCAGAGAGAGGGAGGGAGAGAGAATCTGAAGCAGGCTCCATGCTGTCAGCACAGCACAATGTGGGGTTTGAACTCCCAAAACCTGAGCAGAGACCAAGAGGCAGATGCTTAGCTGGCTGAGCCACCTAAACACCCCTATAATAGAAGAATTTTAAAAAGCGTTTTCTGGGGGTGCCTCAGTGGTTCAGACAATTAAGTATCAGACTCTTGCTTTCAGCTCAGATCATGATCTCATGGTTTATAGATTGAAGCCCTATATCAGTCTCTGTGCTGAGCATGGAGATTCTCTCTCTGCCCTCCCCAGTTCTCTTTCTCTTTCAAAATAAATAAATAAATATTAAATATTAAAATTAAAAATTAAAAATATTAAAATATAAAATTAAAATATTAAAAACATACATATTTAAATATATAAATATATTTAATTTTTATATAATATAATATAATTTATATATAATTTAATTCATTTAAATATTTATATATTTAGTTTATAAATTAAATTTAAATTAATAAAATAAATTTTACATTTTTAAAATTTAAAATTTAATAAATTTATTTATATATATTTAAATATATATATATTTTTAAATTGTAATGTTTTATTTATTTCTGAGAGATAGAGAGAGAGACAGCATGAGCAGAGGAGGGTCCAAAAAAGAGGGAGACAGAGAATCCAAAGACAGGCTCTAGGCTCTGAGCTGTCAGCACAGAGCCCGATGTGGGACTTGAACCCACAAACCAAGAGATCATGACCTGAGCTTCTGACCAACCGAGCCACCCTGGTGCCCCTAAATATATATATATATATATTTTAAAAAAAACATTTTCTGTCCCTCCATGCAGGTGATCATTATGAATTAAAAGTTTTTACATGCTTATAATGTAAATGTGTTTTTATAAGCATATAATGTTACTGATATTAATATTTTATATATTAATATATAACACAATAATATATTATGCTCTATAAATAGAGTATCAATATATTGATATTAGTAATATATTGATACTATTAATGTTTAAATATTATTTAAAGATAACAGATTGATGTTGAATGTTTTTATATCTAAAGGAATTTATTAATTTGAACTTTTCCTAGATCATACATTATATCCCTCCAAACTCCTAAATTCCTAGGAGTTAAATAAAATTATTATTATAATAACATAATAAATACGAATAATTAAACTATAATTAATATTATATCAGCATATTATTTTAGGAGATCCACAGCTATCTATAAATTTACAATACAGTAGGTAGTATTTTTATAATTCTTTGTGGTACTTGATATTCTTCATATTATTATCATATATAGACAGTCCTCACTTAAGTTTCTTGTTTTAATGTTTTTAATTTATTTTTTGAGAGAGAGAGAGAGAGACAGCGTGATCAGGGGAAAGTCAGAGAGAGAGGGAGATGCAGAATCTGAAGACAGGCTCCAGGCTCTGAGCTGTCAGCACAGAGCCCGACGTGGGGCTTGAACCCAAGAACCATGAGATCATGACCTGAGCCGAAGTCGGACGCTTAACTGACTGAGCCACCCAGGCGCCCCTTCACTTAAGTTTTTAATATGTATAAATTTCAGTGACTATATAGTTAAAACACCAATCCCCCAAAACACACCTCAAATTTTGATGACGAGTACTTAAATTGTGAACAATGGGTAAGTTATAAACTTTGCTGCTTCAATACAAAATCATTACATAATAACATCATGATAGGTGACCAATTACATCACTTCTTCCAAAGTCCTTCAGTGATTGGTCACTGCACATCTGTTATTCAATTCATTCACAGACATTAAAGTGTAGTTGTGTTGTCTTATTTTCTTCCAGTGATAAACCCACATGATGTTTCAAAAAATAGTCTAAAGAGGGCATTGGGAAAGAAAAAAAAAGAGGAGAAAGAAAAAAAAGAAGAAAAGAAAAGAAAAAAGAAAAAAAGGGAGGGAGGGAGAGAGAAGGAAAGAAAGAAAAGAAAGGAAGAAAGGGAAGGAGGGAAAGTGAGAAAAGAAAAAAAAGGAAAGGAAGGAGAGAATGAACAAGTAGCAGAGAAACAGAGAGACAACATTGGAAGTGAAATCTGAATTAAACATAAATGGAGTTACAGAAGAAACTGTTGAATTTGCGTTACTGACACTGGTGCCATGTCAAGGAATTTAGATATTCAGCCCAGGCAACTCGGAGATGTCTCAATATAAGTCAAAAGAGTAGTTGTTACAAAAAGGATATAAAGGTCCTGGAGAAAGTGACATGGGCACACTAAAGGCACTCTCAGAGATATTTTCAGACAGCGAAAGTGCAAAGGATAGAATGTTGAAAGCTGATCCAAACTTAGGAGTATGACAATTTAACAAGGCATAGGAAGGATTCTTGCTCCTATCATAAATTATATACTGAGAAGATGGCAAGATCAAAGTATTCTTGATAAGTTTTTGGTGGGGAGGAGGCACAATTCAAATTTTATTTCAAAGGCTTGATATCTTTAATAATCTGTAAAACATAAAGTTAATTTCCCTAGTTTATTTTGAGGAAGATTAAATTTTTATCTCAAAGATAAGCTTTTTATAAGGAAAATTTTGAATATGTTTCTACTTTTTGGATTACAGTGTACTAAGTAGTTTTAGTGTCTTTTCAATTCTTTATACATTAATAACCAACAATAAGGGAGTTTTGAATGTTCTGATAAAGAATTTTTAAAGATCACAGAACAAAGGGCGCCTAGGTCTTGATCTCGGGGTCACAAGTTCAAGCCCCATATTGAGCATAGAGCTTACTTAAAAAAAAAGATCACAGTACAATTGAATTTTCTCCATTAATTATGAATGCTTTGCATGGTTTCAGTGTACACAATCATTCATGACCAGTAATATCACACAAAGCAAGGACTGCCTGTATAGTATGGTCATGAAATTAAAACTAAAAACAGAGTTTCGTTATTTTAATTTATTATTGGAGTCCTTTAAGTCACAGCTTTGATTTTATGACATAGTGCTTGCCCATATCTGGAACACAATCCACAAGGTACATATTATGGCTACAGAAACCAAAATATTCCAAAAAAATAGTATTGCAGGTTTTAAAAAAAACAACTAAAGATGTAGTATCAGAGAATTCAACTCTGATCCTGGCACCATTTACTAGATCTATGACTCTGGGCAAGCTCCAGTTTATTAACTAACAAAAGGATGATTGAGTAAGATAGTGAATTTAATGCTCTAGGTATTATAATGTTAGCTGTTGTTAACATTTGGGTAACTGGTCATTCCTATGACCAAAATATTTCTACATGGCAAACGCCTTTGTTTCACAGATTTGTATCTGTATTTGTAAAAGCAACTATTTCATTTCAAAGTCAAGATATATTTCAATACAAATCCTCTTAGTTGGGCTTCATTAGATACAACAAATTGTATCCCCGCTGAAGATGAATGGAATTACCCAGACTATTGGGCAATAACTTTAAATGAAAAACACAGGTAATTAGGTAATGTGGTACTTGATGAAAAGCCAAATCAGTTGAATTTTTTTATAAAGGAGACAAAAAATCTTCTAAATATTCTATTATTGACATTGTATACAATCTCAGTGAAAATGTATTATTTTAGGAATTTTCTTTTTCTCTTGAAAACTAAGTGTATTTACTCTGAAAAACTAAACATCATTTGATTAGTATACATGATTACAACAGATAAATCTGTTTCCAAAAAGCCTTTAAATAGGAAATAGCTTTTGACTAAAATAAAAACTGGACCAGAACAAAAGGCACTGTGTCTCAATCTTGTTTTTAGAAGATAAAGTGTTATAATAAATGAGGTAATATTATTAGGAGAGTTTTGATCTGTACTCTGCTGATTCTGATTTAAAAATAACATTTTCTAAGACTACAAGGTAAATCTATAGC